CCCCAGACAAACAAACGTTAGGCTGCAAGTGAAGAGAAAGTCTCTCAACGAAAATTCGCCCCTGCCCATGTAGATCTAGTTCCATTGTTCCTTTGTCCCTGCAAATTTTTACTTTCACTCCTTCACGCAGATGCACTGCTTTTGGGGGGTCAACAGGCTTGATTTGAGGCTGCAGATCACACTTATGGCACCCAAAACTGTCGAAAATCAATTATCTTTTTTAAAATGTCAATCTTAAATGAAAAACATCAAAATGGAGAAAAACAGAAGGACCCCTTCCCTCCCCTGGATTGGTCCAACGAGGAAAAAATTACTACTTAGCTAGGCTAAGCGTGATATTGTGTTGGTAACTAACAAGATCTAGGGGGGGCATTTAAAACAGCCACCAAAATTGCCATGTGCGAAGATTTATAGTCCCTTGAGATGCGTACTGTGTCAAGTGGAGTAGTCAAGTGTGTACGTTATCTTGACTCATCATACTCAAACGGGAAAATCTGAAACATAAACCAAAATTAAAATGTTTCACTCTGCACAAGGGACCCAACAAATTAAAAAAGATGTCAGAGTTAAGAAACATCACCGTCAGAGTTATTGTCCGCATAGTACACTTCTGCCTAATAGGGCAAGTGTGAACTTCACATAAGGGATTAGTTAGCATGTACAAAGTTTCAGTGGAGCACTGAACAAGCTATCTCTCTTTGTCTTTTATTTAGACTTTAAAAGTTGTTATAATATTATGACGCGCAGCCTTGATATAAAACACATGACTTCAGTTTGAGAAATTATAGTTAGTCAGTTAAAGAGAAGGCCCTCCAACTGAATGTGACAATTATGAGTAGTGTGGTGTCTTCATTGTCTGCTGTTGTCTCCACCAGTCTCACCTGGCTGTGGCGCCCTCTGGTGAGTAGCCTTTTCTATTAAGGAGAAGTGATCAAGGTGGTTATGAATAGAATAATAAATTACTGTATTATTCTTACAGCTAGCTCCTTATGGGAGAAATCCTAGTATTCACCTGTCTTGTAAATATGAACGTCATCTATTCAGTTGGAATCGGGAAAAATTCCGTTTTCAGAAAAATAATGAGGGATAGATCAAGAGAGAGACAGAGATATTTATACAGAAAGAGTGAGTGAGTGAGTGAGTAAGAGAGAGAGAGAGAGAGAGAGAGGGGAAGGAGATTACAGCAGCAGCGTGTTAGTGACTGTTAGCTTGGTGCTTGTCAAGATGCAACTGACTGAAAGTTGAAAGACAAGTGGAAACCTGTGTCACCCACAGAAGGTGCGACTGAGAGTGCATATAATAATAAGCTAGTCAACAAAAATTAAGGAACATTTGGGAAAAAGTGTATAACTTCGAAAATAAACTTCAACACGCAATGAAATTTGGTACACATTTTAATCAACATGTGTATAACAAATAACAAAAAAGAAAATTAAGTTATTCCATTTTAACTTGCTTGAAAAGTT